TGAGCAAGGGGACCAGTGGCGTAATGAGCAAAAACGTTGGGGAGAGGGGGGGGGAGGGGTGTGGGGAGCTAAAGCTCAGGGGTTTTAGGCATTTAACTACGATTAGATGAGCAGTCAGGGTTTTAGGCATTTAATAACGGTCAGATGAGCATATTTTGATACCTTATTTGTGCTACTCAGTAGCACAAATAAGGTATCAAAATATGCCAGTCTGGCAGGTCACTAATTGGAGCGAGGTCCAGAGGGCAGAGCCCCCGGAAGCTCAAGGATTTTAGGCATTTAATAACGGCCAGATGAGCATCCAGGGGCCCGCCTTAGGGCCCTTCGTGGGGGTACAGCCCCCGGAAGCTCATGGGAAAATAATGCCATTTTAGCAACATTTATAAATCACTGGTATCAAATTAGAAATAAACCATTTACAAAATGTATTGGGGGTGGTTACTGCCCCCCCCCCCCATCAGTAAGCAAGTGGAAGGGGCGGAGGTGACGGAAGTGACTATCCCCCCCCCCCATATAGAGTTATAATATAAGTCTTATTATATAGCTCTATGCTACCCCCTCACAGGTTTTTGAAGTTTTGTTGTATAACAAAATTGCATTCTTTAGCAAAACTACAGTATAAAAACAAGCAATAAACTTTTTTCACACTTCACTTTTACTTTGCCGGTATCTATAGTGTGAAGTCCGAAGGGTTGTAAATATTTATTAGGTAAATTTTAGTAAGTAGGCAGGAAGGGAGTTCTTAACAGAGCAAACTGAACATTCATTTTTGGAGCACTGATCTATTTCTATAACTCTTAATCTTGTAAACATACTGTGCTTACGATGCCAACAGAATACATATTTTCTACAATATTTACTTGTAAATTTTGAAGGATATTATGCGAAGGATCTAGGAGCGCACGTAGCGACCGAGCAAGAAGTTGCCGTTTGTATATAGATGAACTTGAAATAATAAGTAGCCTTGAAAGTGTCGCAATCATGTGTGAGTGAGCTTGAAGTTTAATGGTGTATGTATTTTTGAGACTATATAGCCTTTACACTGTTTCATTTGTGAGATATATCTCCAATCAAATCAAACTGAGTTATGTTATCGAACAACTTAACAATAACATTTTTCTATTCTCCTAAACTTGAAAATTGCATTACAATGTGAATTCATTGTCAGTGAAAATGTAATACAATATACAACAATGGGCAAAGAATTGTTTCCAGACCAATGATTTAAGTGGGAAGAAATTACATTTTATATTGAAACTGTTGTGGTTTGTATATACATGAACTTTAAATAATAAGCAGCCTTGAAAATGTCACAATATATCATTTGTGAGTGAGCTTGAAGTTTAATGGTGTAGGTTTGTTTGAGACTATATAGCCTTAACACTGTTTCATAGATTATCTCCAATCAAATCAAACTGAATGGTGTTATCGAACAACTTAACATTATCAATCTGGCTTAAAGTGACTCGGTAACATTTATGAAGGTTGATGAACTGAACTGCGTAATTTTTGTATGAAATGTTACTTATTATATTCCTTCTACTATACTAACTCTCTGACATGCAAACAAAAAAACTGAAAAAATCCACTGTGCGACACCATTTTATAGTCTCCCAACCATTTCGCCATGAAAATAAGACATACAACAGGCTTTTTAAAATGCATGCTGTGTAACAATTTGTTTAAACCTAAAATGTATTTAAATTGTAATAATAGAGTTGGGAGAATTAAGAAATCAGTCAGATCATTTTTCCCAATTATTTGTACCATTAATAATGGTCTGTTTTTACTCAAACTTTCAGATTATCTTTAATTATACATTTACATTTTGTAGCATTGAAGTCATCATTTTCTCTCATCTGAACGATGTTGCCAAGTCCCTGGCGGTGGAATTAAGTTTAATGGTGTAGGTTTGTTTGAGAACATATAGCTTTAACACTGATTCATTAATGAGATATTTCTCCAATCAAATCAAACTGAGTGATGCTATCGAACCACTTAACAATATCAACCAGGGGTCCGGGGGCAAAGCTCGGGGGTTTAGGCATTTAATTACGGTCAGATGCATGAGCATATTTTGATACCTTATTTGTGACAATGGCAGGTCACTAATATGCGTGGGGTCAAGGGGACGGAGCCTCCTAAAGCTCAGGGGTTTTAGGCATTTAATTACGGCCAGGTTAGCATCCGGGGGCTCGCCTTAGGGCCCCTTGTAGGACCCAAGGGGCGGAAACCGCGCAAGGTCAGGGATTTTAGGTATTATTTAACGGTCAGATGAGAATATTTTGATATCTCATATTATTTTGGTGACACTGGCAGGTTCTCTTCAACATACTTTTTCAAAAAAATGAGGGGCCGAGGGAGTGGGAGCTCGACCCCCTATCCACAGGCCTTGACATGTAGGCTTCCAAATCAAACATATTTTTTGCCTGACTGTAAATTTGGGAAATTTCCACAAACGCATACAAAATTATAATTTCAAAAGAGTGAGAAAAACGTTCGAATTTTATGGGGGCAATTGCCCCCAAGCCCCCATCAGTACGCTTGTGCGAGGGACGAGGGAGCATAGTGAACGAGAGGGGCGAAGGTGACGGCACTGACTACCCCTCCACAGGTTTTTGAAGTTTTGTTTTATTACAAAATTACTTTCCCTAGAAAACTATAGTATAAAACCAAACAATATACCTTTTTTTTTAGACTTCATTTTTACTTTGCTGGTAATTAGTGTGCAGTCCGAAGGGTTGTTAAAGGGAACCAAAACCTTCATACTAAGTTACTTTTATTGTAAAGTTTAGGATATTTGAAAATATCAGTGAAAATTTGAACAAAATCGGGCAAGGAATAAGGAAGTTAGAGCTTTTTTAAAATGACTAGTCACTAGAGGGCGGTATTCAATTTGATGACATCATCTGTGAACAACTCTCCATGCCTTTTGTACATCAAATTTCATGTTTTTCCTTCCTTCTCGTGATTGAGATAATCTACTCCCCTGAAAGCAAGATATAGAATGCTAAATGATATTCTACTTCACATGTTATGAAGTCGGATCAAGAACACAAATAAATACGAAGAAAACGAAAAAAATTGTGAAATTTTATGTACAAAAGTGACTAGTCATTTCAAAAAGCTTCCTTATTCCTTGCCCGATTTTGTTCAAATTTTCACTAATATTTTTTAAATATCTTAAACTTTACAATAAAAGTAACCTAATATGAAGGTTTTGGTTCCCTTTAATATCAGTTTAGTAGGTAAATTTTAGTATCAGCAGGGAGCTTGGGCATGGATGGGATTTCTATTTTCCACCGTAGGCCTCTGATATCGCAGTGCATGGGAGTTGAAACACTTTGTTGTATCACTCTAAAAACTGAAATGTTAAATGTCAATTTAAAAGGGCCGAGGAGTGACCACTCTTTCAAAATGTCAAGTTGTTTCTTTTAACCTGCTAGATTCAACCTTTATAGTGTTGGATCCAGCATGTTCAAAGTGTTAATCTACCATTTTGAAAGAGTGGTCACTCCTCGGCCCTTTTAAATGGTGATTTAACATTTCAGTTTCGGAGTGAAAAGAGCAAGTGGAATATTCATTTTTGAAGCACTGATCTCTTTCTATAACTCTTAATCATGTAAACATACAGTTTAAGCTGTGCTTTCATGATACCAATTGAATACAGATTTTCCACAATATTTACTTGTATGTTTTGAACATATTATGCGAGTGATGCTCAGATTTGTTGCATTTTTATTAGTCTAGGCTGTTTTCTCTTGAGCCTCCAGAGCTTATAAGTGTGTTTCAGTCTTTAGTCAGTATTTGCTATACATAATTATTTTTGTTTGCAGTTTATCGAATTTCCGCCCCTGTCTAATCGCAGCCGCTGCTAACTACACGCCTCTTCTTCAATAATGTACAGCTTCAGCAATCCAAAAAATACCGCGAAGAGTAATGTTAGACTCTGTCTCCAGCTGTCATTCGCACAGTATTTTGACTGAGCTGGCTAAACACTTTTGTAAAAAAAAAAAATATGCTCGGCCCGCGCAGGCTAGATCACTGGGAAATCCCCCACCCGAATACAAGGACGTTACACACTTCCAATATACAATGCAACACAAGTGTTCATGTGTAAATGGCCATTGATTTGATAATTATCAAAACACTTATAAAAAAAGTGTTGAATTTCCCTATTGGGAAAGAATAGTCGATGGCCTCCAGTGGCCTACATTATTATTCGCACTACGTATCGTAGAGTTCGTGGCCCGCTTTACTTCGTGCATTGTAATATCCATTCTATTATATTTCCACCCCGGCAAAACTCAATTCAGCCTGTTCTTCAGCAAGTCGACTGCTCTCCTTATTATAAAGTAGAACATGAATGGATAAAGAAAAACGTTTCAGTCAATGCATGCATGTCCATACAAACGTGTGTATACATGGCAAATGATTAATTGAAAATTGGAGCCGCGAAGCGAAGGTTTTTTATTCTTAAATTAAGGGTGCCGTGACTATTTTTTTGTTTTTTTGTTGAAAACATTGATCTAGTATATAGCCTAAAAACTGGTGCCCCCCCCCCCTAATGACCGAGCTCACATTACGCCACTGATTGGAATAATTGCCTTGAAAAATAACATATTCGACAACAAAGGTGAATTTTATAGAGGTCTCAAGTTCGAGTTGAACACTAAGCAAATTGTATCCCACTACAATACAATGTACTGTATGTCTTATGTCGCGCGCGCAGCTAGCATGCACCCTAAAAAGCAAGAAGGAACTCATAAATTAAAGTGCAGTGCAAAATTTTACAAGTGCAGAACGTGTCGCGCGTTGCTCTAGCTCCTTGTTGGTTGCTTAACAATTATTCCTTGAAAAGTAAAACCAAATTCAATTCCACAATTCACAATTGTATATCCTTTTCTTCTTCTTCTGGAATTATCCGTTTCATCGTGTCTAATTGGAGTTTAACAAGTGGAATAAACTAGTTTTGTTATACTTCTAGTGCGTGCAAAGTCCTGGCCTTTTCACAATCGGAGAAACAGACCGGAGCAGATGACCTAGACTAAGTCTTACACGTAAGTACTAAAGTAGATCTAGATCTATCATCTTAGGTCTAAATTTTAGAGGCTATATGCATCTACTATCAACAATCCATCCCACTAAATATAACGTTAGAGGTAAATTTCAAAACAAGTGACCCCGGCACTTTGTCAGAATCCAAAAATGCACGTTCTTTAACATTGGCCTAGATCTAGTCTAGCCTACTAGGTAGCCTGTGCCCGATTAGAGGCTACTAGTACTATTAGTAGGCTTAGATCTTCTGTACATCGAACATCTCACTCAGATCTAAATCTAGAACAATGTAGAGGTCTAAAGACCAGGGGTGGTATTCTGAACATCATTGTATCCCTGTGTTATCTCTTGAAGGACCGCCTCTAGGCTCTAGGCCTATCTTATCTTTGACCACTGCGCGGATCCAGGATTTCTTAGGGGGGGGGGGGCCAAATTTGAAATTATGCGAGCCAAATATTGGTAGACCTCTACGTAATGATGACACCGGCAGTGGCAAAAACGTTTGGGGGGGGGGGGGGGTGGGGGTAGACAACAAATATCCCCATCACCCCCACTCTTACATGGAGGCCGCGCTCGCGCTTAACGTTTCTCGGCGGGGTCAAGAGGTGAAGCCCCCAGAGGCTCGGGGGTTTTAATACATTAAATTACCGTCAGATGAGCATATTTTGATACCTTATTTGTGACACTTGCAGGTCACAAATTGACGTGGGGTCCAGGAGGCGAAGCCCCGGAAGCTCAGGGGTTTTGGGCAATAAATTACGGTCAGATGAGCATATTTTGATACCCTGGCCTGATAGGACACAAATTGGCGTTGGGTCCAGGGGGCAGAGCCCCCAGAAGATCAGGGGTTTTATACATTAAATTATCGTCAGATGAGCATATTTTGATACCTTATTTGTGACACTGGCAGGTCACGAATTGGCGTGGGGTCCAGGGGGCTGAAGCTCAGGGGTTCGGGGCAATAAATTACGGTCAGATGAGCATATTTTGATACCTTAGTTGTGACACTGGCAGGACACAAATTGGTGTTGGATCCAGGGGGCGGAGCCCTCAGAAGCTCAGGGGTTATATACATCAAATTATCATCAGATGAACATAATTTTATCCCAATTTTATACCTTATTTGTGACACTTGCAGGTCACGAATCGGCGTGGGGTCCAGGAGGCGGAGCCCCCAGAGGCTCAGGGGTTTTAGGCATTTAATTACGGTCAGATGAGCATATTTTGATACCTTATTTGTAGCACTGGTAAGTCACTAATTGGTGTGGTGTCCAGGGTCCACCTTCTGTCATGCTGGTCCACTCCTGCAGTTTTAGTCCTCTCCAGTTCTTGACATTCGCTTCCCAGTTGATTCTGGTTTCCCTCTCGGTCTAGTTCCTTCCACTTCCCGCCAACACATCCTGTAAGAGGCTTTGGTGCCTTTTATTAACATGACCAAAGTATTTGACTTTTCTTTCCTTAACTAAGCCTACATTTGGTCAGTGCAATTTGTTTGCGCCTTGCACGCCATGTGCAATATCTCTTTTTTGAGTTTCATTCGTTTCCAGGTTATTTTCAGTAATAAGGACCGCTATTCATAAGGATCAATAAGGACCTACATTTTGTGCGTGCAGTTGAAGGACCGCTATTCATAACACGAAAGGGGTCACCAGTTTATGTTATGATATTTTGTTTTGTATTGCTTTAAGAAAATAAGCAGCAAACGCGAGTTAAGAACTCGGCTGAAGGCCTATATTTTGATCCCCATTGAATTGTCAAAGTAGAAATCATGTGAACTCGGATTATTATGTAAATGTCATATTCGGACATTTCATATATTAAAGGTGATAGTCTACGCTGAAGAATGTTTACATTGCCATGGAATGATTGGTTTGTAATCGAGTATAACACATTGACCGTGCTATTATTATTTCTACTATTATTATTATTAATAATTATTAATTATTAATTATTGGTAAGCGCTTTATAAGTAACGTTTTTATTATTATTATTATTATTAATTATTATTATTGATATTTTTATTATGACTATCATTATCGTTATAATGTTATGTAATACATGTTTCACTCCTCGCTCCCTTCAGTCATTCACCTTTCCCCCACTTCCATGATTTAAAACAGAACCCCAATTATCCCTAGACAGCACCCCATTATTCCCAGTTACTGACCCCCTCAACTTTTTATTACAAACACTTGACCACCCCCAGAGAGTTATAACTTCAAGGAACCACATTCCAAGAACTCAAGCGCGTAGCCAGGATTTCATTTTAGGGGGGGGGGCGGTAGTGAGCACGCAAAGCGTGCGAATCACAGAGCGCGCGTAGCGCGCTCCCTAGGGGGGAGGGTGGAGGGAGGAGAATGAAGACGATTCGTTGGACCATTCTCGACTCTTAATCCTTATCTAAATTCAGTTTCTGTTGACGTTTCATTAGAGAAAGAAGACGATTCGCTGTTCCGTCACGGTCCTCGACTCTTAATCTTTGTTTGAATCAAGTTCGCCTGCCTCCGCGCGTAGCGCGGAAGCGCTAAAGTTTTATTAGATTATTAAAGAAAGAAGAAGGTTCGTTGTACCACATCTCGATCGACTCTTAATCCTTGTCTGAATTCAGTTCCCCTCCCCTCCCCTCCCGCGGAAGCTTTGACGTTTCATAAATTATTAGAGAAAGAAGACGATTTGTTGTACCGTTCTCGACTCTTAATCCTTATCTGAATTCAGTTTCCCCTCCCCTCCCGCGCGAAGCGCAGAAGCTTAGACGTTCCATTAAATTATTAGAGAAAGAAGACGATTCGTTGTACCGTTCTCGACTCTTAATCCTTTTCTTCGTACGTCCTCTTCCTTTCTTCTTTTTTTTTTCTCTTTTTTTTTGGGGGGGGGGGGCCGGCGTTTTTTTTTTTTTTTTTTTTTTTGGGGGGGGGGGGCGACCGCCCCCACCGCCCCCCTGGCTACGCGCCTGCAAGAACTATGACTCATAGGCCCAAACCCCAGTCACGTACATCACCACACCCCATTATCATGTAATATACCAGAGCAATCCTACTTTTGTCCAATAAGATTCCCAGATTATAACGCCCCTAGAACTATTTATGACTATATACATGTAAGTGAAGTTCCTAACTTAGAGGAGGGGGAAGACTTTCAGAGTAGAACAGAAGTTTGATACTTCAGAGTTCAGACTGTAAAATATGAGTAAAGTCAACGATTAGACTTTCTCTCGCCTTCATCTTCGAGTGGTTCTTCAATAAATGTTGTACCTTCAATATCGTTCTATCGTTTTCTTTAAGGACGACATCTAGCTCCGCTACTAAAGTTACGTCACCTAACATCGCGATGTTACAACTGCGAGCGTTTCTACTTGCCAAACACGCCAAAACACGCCAAAAGATCACACTTCGATTTGGAATGTTTTGGAATTGGCATTTCTGCCGGTAATGCGTATAGTTGCCCTTGGTAACATCGCGGTCAGGCTCCGGTTTTGGCATTTTTGGCGTGTTTGGATGACAGTGTAAATGCCCCTGTAAAACTATATAATCCGATCCCTCGCTATCAGTGTATTACATAAGAGCACACCCCACTGTTTGTTTATAGCCCCACTTTCGAGTTTCTCTCCTCACTCCCTGTTTCTATCTTGCTCTCTCTTATACGTGGGATTCCCCCTGCTTACACACAAATCTATACTCTAGCTCTCTTCTCCCCGCTCACTTGTAGCATTCATGATAAGATTGTTGTGATTTGTGAGGCACACGTACGTGGTCACTCCTTTTCCATCTTGACTTTGGGGAGAGAAGACGTATGTTGGCTCCTTTGTTTTAGGTAAGAGAAAAACTAATTTCTCACACCTTACTTTCTACCTTTGTATTTATAATTAGACTAGGCCAACAGTTACCTCTCGAGTACTTTCATGAAAGAGCAGAGTACTGTACGTACATTTGTAGAGTAATGATTAATAATATATAAAGTAGTTATTCTCTTTCTAATGAGATATATTGAATATAGAGGGAAGAGCTTTAGTTCTCTATTTATCTAGCATATATATATTCTATTATTCCTGTATCTTGACTGACAACCATTATGTATCACTATTGGAGCAAAAGGGATGTATTTGGTCTGAACACTAAAGACTAGTTCTTAGTTTGCTGACAGAGAGAAAGGAGTGATTGTTAGTGCTCCTAGTTCATGTACATGGCATGCATTGTTGCCCCTGTTTGGGAGACATCGTTACAGAGTACCTTGAATGCACTGACAAGAAAGGGAGGAGAGCTATAATCAGGGATATGTGAGTGAAACATAATTATTGAATACCGCTTTATTAGTTTGGACCTTTGTAATATTATGAGAGTTTTTAGAATCATATTATTCTAAGCACATGAAAGCACTAATCAAGTAGGATATCATTTTAGGGGGCAGTAGTGAGCGTGCGCATTCGCGCGCTCCCTGGGGGGGGGGGGGGGGGGGGTTCCCTCCCTTTGCGAAGCGCGAAAGTTTAATTTGACGTTTCATTAAATTATTAGCTAGAGAAAGAAGACGATTCGTTGTACCGTTCTCAACTCTTTTTTTTTTGGTCTGAATTCAGTTTCCCCCTTTCGCGCGGAAGCTTTGAAGTTTCATTAAATTATTAGAGTAATAAGACGATTGATTTGTTGTACCATTCTAGACTCTTAATCCTTGTCTGAATTCAGTTTCGCCCTCCCGCACGAAGCGCGAAAGCTTTGAAGTTTCATTATATTGTTGGAGACAGAAGACGATTCGTCGTACCGTTCTCGACTCTTTATCCTTGTCTGAATTTTCAATAATGTTTCTTTGTCTGCTCCATTTTCTTCCGACGTCCATTTACTTTTTTTTCTCTTCTCCCTCTCTCTCTCTTTTTTTTGGAGGGGTGTGGGTGACGATTATTATTATTATTATCATCATCATTATTATTGTTATTGTTATTATTATTATCTCTGTGTTATTTATTCAGCATTGTTGTAAATGAAGTATAAATCGATATTGCCTTACAACTTTACTACAATTACACATTTTCGAATCTGCTCGTCATCATGATCATACTGTGTATCATTAAGAACCATGCAGAAATATTTATAAATATAACAAAACAGAAAATTATATTTGACCATCGCATGTCTCATTTTTTTCAGATGAGCGGCACATAAAACGGTTCTACCACATGGACAGACACTTCAGATCCCCATCCCTCGTTTAAGTGGGTTATATCGTCCTGCTTAATTGGATATTCAAGTGAAGACAGTTAAAGGCATGACTGGGGACTTAGCTGAGAAGTAATACATCATATCTACGCAGGGTCGCAAGTTCGTCAGTACCATAACCAAGAACATGTTTCCTAATCAGAAAGCAGTTCGAAGCAAAGATCTAAATCAGAGGAGAGCACTGTCACAAAATGTAGGACAAAGCCTGAGATCTGTACATCACACACCGAGTAATCGGCAAGGAGATGGAGAAACTTACTTCCGGCCCACCATCGCTGCAGCGTCAAGGTCATCAAGAAAAGAAGCGGCACCGAAGACGTCGACAGCGCCCTCATCACAACCACCTCCTGAGGATCAGGTTAGTCACAATGAGGTATATTGCATTTATTGTATTATTTGTTTCAAGAATGTATTTCAGCTGTAAATATGTGTTCACTCGAATCTTTGTATTTATATTCATAAATTCATATTTCTAGTCCTTTTTTCATGTAAATTTGCCATTGATCATCACAAGTCAAGTTCTGTGTTTGATAATTTCATTTCATTTCATTTATGTATTTAAACACGGTAACTCTCTAAGCCTAAACGCTATAACGGATTGTCTTCTTTTTCTAATAAATTTAATGAAATTTAATCAACTTGATTCGTTTAGGGAAAGGCTGGGAATGGGGAACAATGTCACTTAATGTATATTTATTTGTTTTTGTCTTATTTTGCAGAAGAAAAATACCACTTTGAATCAACATCAGAGAATCGGAAAGCATGCAGGTCGCGAGGACAATCGCAAAGAATATCTGCGCCCTCGTCAAAACCAGGCATCACACAATACAAGCACGAACGTAACCTCTACTTCACCGCCTCCTTACTCAGATGAGCCGTCTACAGAGTCGAGAACGAATGTCCGCTACGGGCCTATCCTTCCACCTACCCCAGATAAAACAGCTAAACGGCGTTGGTCTGTCTGCGATGATATGGATGGAGAACAGCTAGATTCCATTGCCAAAGGAATGATGAGCAATGTTAGGCTTCCGAAGCAGAAAAAAGGTGTCAAGATTGCTGGGCGGCGAATAGGAAAGGCTAAGCGCAAAAGGAGAAAAAAGGAAAATGACGCTGAAGCTAGTACGAGTGAATGCCGATCTAAGACAAAGAAGTTGCCTAAGAAGGCTAAATCTGGTCACACCGAGTAAGCAGAACGGAGATGGTGAAGCTACATCTGACTTGCCTTCGCCGCAGCATCAAGGTCATCATCAAGAGAAGAAGCGGCGCCGAAGACGTCGACAGCGCCCTCTCCCCCAACCGCCTCCGGAGGGGCAGGTTCGTCGGAATGAGAAGTTGCACAAACTAGCAACAAATCCCTGTCATTTAGACCCGGCAATGGAGCACAATAAGACCGTTTATAAACAGTTTGGGGGTCATAGCACGGTGTTTACCGAACCGCAGGTGAAGATTAGGAGAAGGAGACGTTCAAACTCCGTCAAAGATCCTCAAATGGATTTTGATCACTGAATATAGTTGGAATCTTACATCCAAACATATCATTTTCAGTTGAAAACCAACTTAGCTTGGAATTGTCACTTTGTTATATCTTGTCATAATACTTTGTTGTTGTTTCTTGTTGTTATTGTAGGACATTTTACTACACTTATGAACTGTGAGGAAAATATAGGTTTTAGTCGTCATATTTCTATTGTCGTGTAAAAAAGCAATGTAAAGAACATTCTTTGATTGAATTCTTCGAATCGCTAATCAGAAGACGGCTTAAGACCAGGACAAACTTCTTTGAAACATGGAGGAGTGTTGCGAAATGGACCTTCAAAGTACTACTCAATGCAGCAAAAAGCAGTTTTTCCTTTGATTCCAGTTTTCTCATATATACATGTATTTGTATTCTCAAAAATTTGTTCGGATTTTTCGAATGTGTCTCTTAAGAGACATGGAGGATGTGTCTCTTCAGAGACACATTGGTAACGATCTTTGATTTACCTTGAAAGAAATCATGTTCGTTAAAGCTGAAATGAGATCGACTAGACGTATCATTTTGTATATAATATGGTTTAGATAAGGGTAGTAGATCTTCGAGATCTATAAAAAAAAAAAAAAAAAAAAAACGTATTTCACTTGTCTGTCTTCCTATCAAATATGGAATCGGTTTCATGGGTCGACAAGTTGGGCAGCCGCAGTTGGAAAAATATTATGATATATATACATTGTTATGTACTATGATAATAAATTCTTCATACAAGTTCACTGGACATCAATTTTTTCAATATCACACAGTGAAATATGCAACTTTTTGAACGAAAAGAGTGGAGGGACAAAATGCCCTGTAAATTATGGATATATGTACGTAACATTTTTTTTTTTTTTGGGGGGGGGGGGGGTTGGGGATTACCATTGCTTTTCATGAATTTTTTTTAGAATGATAATTCATTTCATACAACTTAATGTTATGTTGGTTTCGGTTTTTGTTTCTTTGGCGGGGACATAGACAGATCCACAGTGGCGTACGCAGGATTTTGTCAAGGGGGGGGGGGGGGGGGGGTTAACATTTTTTAAATCTGGCCGAAAATATCGCAACGACTCGGCCAGCCGCTTAAAAAATGGAAAGAAAGGCGCAGATAGAGAAAAGTGGGAATCCCTTTCTCCTTTTCTCTATCTGCGCCTTTCTTTCCGTTTGTCTTTTGTGCCTGTGTCTGTGACTCATTTTGTACATAAGGCTATTGATATAGGCATGAGCCAATATTGCTGTTGTATAAAAGATTTCAAGAACGTCTTTCAGCTGTAAATATGTGTTAACTGGAACATTTTGTATTGATATTTTGGAAGTTCATATTTCTAGTCCTTTTTCGTGTAAATTTGCCATTGTTGATCATTACAGGTCAAGTTCAATGTTGGAAAATAATGATGATTTGTTTTTAGGGAACGGCTGGAAATAGGGAAAACGCCACCTATTGTCTTTCTTTTTTTAAATGTGCTTTCAATGATTTATTCATGTAAACCATCATGTATAACCATATACACTCGTTTCAGGTATGTGATGATTCTAAAATACAAGCTGTTGTATAGAAGTTAAAAGTGTTTAATAAAATAGCTTTTAGTAAACAAGGTCGTTTTTTACTGATGGATTTCATTTCTGTGTAATTTTGTATATACCCGTCATTAAAATATGATCCTGCGAAGAACATTTGTTTGACGGAGAAGAGTGAGATGGAGATGGGGAAGGAGAGGAAATGAAAACAAAGAAAGAAGAATAATAGAAAAAGAGGAGGGTTAAATTTGGGAAGGGGTGGAGAGTGAGATAAAGAAAGCCTGTGGAGTGGAGATAAAACGACGCAAAAAGGTGATGTGAATCGCGGCCCTGCGGGGAGAATTTAAAACGGAAGACCCTCCTAATTATTTAGCTGGTTTTGATAGAAGTAGAAAAAATGAGAAAAACAGCTAGGTCAGTAAAAGTATGATCAAAATCGATTAGAAATGAAGTTTTATTTTTGAAGGAGCCATATCAATCAAACACAAATTGGCAACTCTGTGACGTATTCCGCGAGGCCCCCTCCCCTTTGCTCTGTATACCAATTTTGTTTAAATCCATATTTTCCCTTAAGACATTTTCCAATCATATATTCACCCGAAATGTTATCATTGTAAATATGTTTCTTCAAACCCCTGTATGTAACAAATCTGTCCCATCATCAATAATTCAGAAAATGAAAGTTAATGAAATTTTTTGTACAGAGCAAATTGGAGAGGAGCTCGCAAAAACGTCATGGTTTTGCCAATTTGTGTTCGGATATTGCTCAAGCATTCACTAATTTGTTTCTCTCATATTTCTGCTTTTATCAAACCAACTTAATATCAGGTTGGACGTACGTCCCCTTCAACAGGGAAAAGAAAGAGGAAAGGAAACGGAGACATCCCCCCCCCCCCAAAAAAAAAAAGAGAGAGAGAGAGGGGGGGGGGGTGGTAGGAGACGCAAGGAAATGAATGATCGAGGAGCGAGACTTGCGTTTTTAATTATTCTGGATAGTTTTACCTTTCTTTATTGCAAAACGGATAAACTCTCAAATGATGTTTGATATTTCCCCTGATCCTCTCATAATATAATGCAATAATAGGAAGTAGCAACATAAGGAATAATTGAAGGTTTTATTTATTCGTCGCAGTCGGTGGCTGAATATTCATGATTGTGAGCGATTATGAAAATTTATGAAAATAGAAAAATAAAAAAAACATGCAAGCCATGAAAATTTACATTCGGTATGCATTTGCACGTAGCCATGGGGGGGGGGGGGGGGGGGGGGTGCCCCTCAAAAATTTTCCAAGATCGGTTGAACTTTTTTTTACCTCGATCGAGTACATGAATGTGCCCCCCCCCCCCCTCCAGCATTAAACTCTGGCTACGGGCCTGTTCGGTACTAGATATTTCGATTGCGATACTCGTACGTGCATGCATTTAATCCCAAACGAGAATTCATAGCTTACATTGCAGTGGAAAATTTTCCAAATTAGCGCGCCGGAGCAAGCAAAACAAGGGTAATGAAAAAGAGTTGTGTTTTTTTTTAACACAGGTGCGGATACAGGGGGAGGGCAGCGGGCTTACCCCCCCCCCCCCCCCCCCCCGACCATTTAATTTTTTTTTTTTAATGGTGACTAGAAATTACCTTTTTTCTCCCCTGGGGGGGGGGGTGTTGAGCGAAAATTGGCCGGCACGATTTCCAAGTTTCCGGGGCAAAAAAAAATAGTGAGCACTATACAACCCCCCCCCCCCCCCCCCCCCCCCCCCCCCACCCCCCCCCCCCCCCCCCCCCCCCCCCCCCCCCCCACTCAGCAAAAATTTCGGCTGGCACGATTTCAAATTGATTTCAAATTGGGCCCCCCCCCCCCCCCATAAGAAATCTTGGATCCGCGCCTGTGTCGATCAAGTAAAATGAGATGAAAAGAATGTGGAAATGATTCTGAAATCCAGATTTTACAGCAGCCGCATCGGAAGTTTTTGACAAGGAGCTTTGTACCGGAAGGTGGCAAGGACTGCAAGTTGCTACTGTTGAATAACTTCCTTTGCATACAACACAAACTTGGATTCTACATTTACATGAAGTCGGAAACCACTTAAGATTCTTATGATTCTTTGTTAAATCTCTCTTCGATCGCTCTTCGATCGCATAAATTAAATTAAATGTTCAAGTCAACTCAAGCGAAATTCAATACCTGCGTGTATTAGATAACTTTCGGAGTAGGTCCCATATCATAGGCTATTATGATTGTGCTTGTAATGTCCCCACCGTGGTTTTTGAAGTGACTGACTGACAAGCTATAGGCTATTGAAAGTACTTGAACTTTAATTCTTGAAAGTTCGAGCTACAATGTATAAATGTTGGTATATGTAATGTAATTTCGTTCCAACATCCTTAAATCTGCAAGGTGGGAATTAATGAGTATGTGTCCCGAAAACAGAAAGGTTGATAATCGAGCAAACAATTCAGGTGACATTTTCTTGGCCTTGGTGATCACTAAACAGGAACAAAAAGAAATAGGCTAAACTTATAATTTTCCCAAGACCAAAATTAATGATGGGCTATTTAATTATCAAATTAACCTCGTTCAGGCAGCAAAGTAGACCTAACCAATTTATTGGTCCATCAATCATGTTTCGCATAGGCCCTTTTTTTATCTGCGGGAAGTGAAGAAATGTATACTGATCGACAGTTATTGTTTTCTACGGTTATGGTGAAGAGTGCAAAGTAAAACTTTACACTATGAACCGACAAACAAAGAAAGCGGACAAAATATACAGTTCCTCAGGTAGACAAAGGAACATCCCTTCACTGCTATTATGTAAAAATGTGTAGAACAGGTGTCACATGCATATTCACCTGTTCCACACATTTTTACATAACAGTGAAGGGATGTTCCTTTGTCTACATGAGGAACTGTATATTTTGTCCGCTTTCTTTGTCCGATCCATAGTGTTAACCTCACTTTAAGCCGAAATTTAACACTCCTGTTTATTACAAATTTTCTTTCTTATTGAAAAAAAACTAAATACTTCTAGGAGAAGCAAACAAGGATATCTAATATTGAAAAAATGGGGACGTGGTCGATCGCGGACCCATAATTATGCAGCTGTTTTTCTCATTTCTTTTGTATTGCTTCCTTTCCATTTTTTGCCCCTTTCAAAAGGCGCTTGAACTTGTTATCCGTGCTTATATTTACCCCCCTCCCCCCCCCCCCCCCCCCCCCCCTCAAACGCACCTCTGGACATGTCACTATTTATCTTGTCAAATTCATTTTACCTAGCCAATGAGTCACCCCACCCCCCCCCTCCTTTTTTCCCCGTTTAAGACTGGTAAATATCCGTTTGTTGATTCCTTGATCGCTACCAAACACTCACCGCAAACGGACGTTGTATATCCGTAATCATAGTACAATCCAATTGCGGAAGTACTGTGAACGTTGACTACCGACAATCGCGACACAGCTAGTGGGCGTTGAAATCTACACCATTTACAAGGTAAATCATCATTAATATGATATTTTATTGATTAGTCGACAATTGATGTAATTGTGTGTTCTGTTTTTCGTTATTCTGGGATGAAATGAGCTTCCATTTTGCGTATTTTGAACGAGTAAAATAGAAATGTATTTGCGGGTACACACTTCCTCATTATGCCGATGTCTATGTGTGGGACTGTAGAATTGAGATGGTGACAGAAAACGAATGATGCTGTGATGTTGCGTGCCAGACTTGATGACTGAGTCTGAGATGAGATTGAAAACATGATGATAACATCATATTAAATTGCATATTATTCCCATGAATACGTCAGATCACTGTTATCAGACTATGCTTGCCTTGCAATGCCATGATGGTAGACGTAATCCGACTGACTCGGGCCTAGATATAGATCTAGATCTAGACCTAGACCGAATTTTCTGTCTCTTTCGTTCGTTAAGCCTCTTATTTGGGTAGGGTCGGCTCTCTCTTTAGAGAGAAAATTTGGTCTAATCTAGACCTACATGTAATGTATAGACTATAACTAAACTTGTTGAGCTGTGTCGCAAGATAGTAAACTTCTCATTTGTTTTTCTTTCTTTTGGACGGATTTGAAGTGAAGAAAGTTCTCTGATCTTACCCAAGATGTGGAGGTCTCAAGTGGGAAGCAGCAACAAACCTCCAGTCACACAGGATGAGGACGATGACTGGGAAACTGATCCAGATTTTGTTGTGAGTTGACCTCCAGTTTAGGACAGGAAAAGGAACAACGTTAGGAAAAAGTTTTGTATGTTACCCCCACTAAATAAAAACGAAAACGAAATTTCTTGTATTGTCTTATTATTACACTTTCTTTCTATCTCTCATTGTCTAACCCTAACCCTAACCCTAGTTTCCCATGTTTTATATACCAATATTATATTATTATTAGGTATCACTCTGAAACATATCTATATGTTTTTTCTTCAATTTTAGTGGGGGTTACATATGGAACTCTTGCCCAACGTTATAACGTTACACCACCTCAAAAGCTGCTGGGGGCCAGTTTCTCAAAATCATCATTATTCTAACTTTGTGGACACTCCTTTGAAGCATATATTAACTCTCTGATAAGTGTTTCTAAGGGATGTCCAATAAATTAGACTTGTGATGGTTTTGAGAAATAGCTTCCAGATGTCTATTGTTGACCAATGAAGCTACATGTAAATCCAAAAATTTAAGTTTCTTAGCTAATCTCTAATCCTATCCCTAAACCTAACCCTAATCCTTACTCTATGATTTGAACATCTATTTATTTATGTTCGGTGCGGTATTCTAACATTAAGACCAGGAAATTTGAAGGGGTTAATAAATTGATAAGCATTTTCATTCATGTGTTCTCCTGTTTAAAACATGGTACACATACATTTGTAGAACTTTGTCTGAAGTCTTAATATGATGATCCCATTTAAATTTCAACTCAAGTATTCAGATTAGTTTAGTTTATTCTGCTTAAGGCAAACAAGCAGTGATACAAGAATAATTTTGGGCATATCAATCATCATCATTATGGTCATCATCATTATGATCATCCTCATTATTAATATTATTAATATTATTGTTGTTTTCATCATCATCATAATCATCATCATAATTATATTTTTATAATAATTATCATTAATATTCTTGTTTACCGGTAGGTTTCAACAATTGTTGATTCACATCACATGTATTAATCTTTTCTGATTATTCAATAAACATCTTATTATTATTTTGCATTGATTGACTAGAATGATGTGAGTGAGCAGGAGCAGAGATGGGGGTCCAAGTCAGTAGAAGGATCAGGAAGGCAAGAGCAATTCAAGTAAGTTAGCCAGTTTGTTCTTCTTCTTCCACCTCTTCTTCTTCTTCTTCTCCTCCTTCTTCTTCTTTCTCTTCTTCCTCTTCCTCTTCCTCTTCCGCTTCTTCTTCCTCTTCCTCTTTGTCTTTTTCTTCTTCTTCTTGTCTTCCTCTTCCTCCTCATCCTCCTCCTTCTCCGCCTTCTCCTTCTCCTTCTTAAGCTTCTCCTTCTTCTTCCTGTTCTTCTTTTTCTTCTCCTCCTTCTTCATTTTTCTATGAATGAAATAAATCTAAAGGGAATACTTTTTCTTTGTATTTCCCACAGTATCCATGAGTTGAGAGAGAATGTGAAGCAAGGTGACGCCGACCAGAAGGAGAAAGAGCTGGCTGCTGCTCCCAAGGCCTCGTATGGCTACGGAGGAAAGTTTGGTGTTCAACAGGACAGGATGGACAAGGTATGGGACTAGAAGAGATGACGTATTCATGTGGTTTAAAGCCCCACTGCACTACTTATAACTATTTGCACCCTCTATATAGCAAACAATGAATAATCGGTGACCATAGGTCCCCCATGGTCCCCTTATTCTTCCTTTTTGTAGGCATTCTGAGCATCCTCCGGGATGGATATGTGTGCAGTATTAATGTAGCGATTCATCATCATCATTATCATATATGAAATTCAGCATTTTCCCTCTATACGAGGGGTTACTGACTTTTGTGCCATGATGACACTCCCTCCACTTTTTCTTGTTATTACATGTCTTATGGCAAGATATTGATTCAGATTTGACATTGACTAATGTCCTTTGGCAAGACGCTGATCTACATTTGCCACACTCCACCCAGGTGAAGTAAATGTGGACCAGCAGGAAGGAATTCCTTGAATGTTGTGAGCACCGAAATAGGTAGCCTAGCAGAGCCAAGGTAATATTGGAGCACTTTGAGTACCTTGCTGGGTGGATATGTGCTCTATATAAATATGCTCCATCTATGAATTGTTTCTTACAGTCTGCCGTGGGGCATGACCATCAGGAATCGCTCAACAAGCACGCATCTCAGGCAGACTACGCCAAGGGTTTCGGAGGCAAGCACGGCGTGCAGTCTGACCGCCAAGACGCTTCTGCTGTCGGATTTGACTACGAGGGGAAGACGGATAAACATGCTTCACAAAAAGGTAAGTAGAGTCGATTTAAATAATGGCTTTTGAGAATGTAAATCACGTATTCTAAAACAACGTGTTGAGAAGATGATGAACCTATCGGATCTTGAGGTGGATGACATAATGAGGGAAAGAAAGAACGGAGATTTCATGGAAAGATATGGTGAAGAAAGTAAGCAGTAAGATTTGGCTGAATGAGGAGGATGCTCAATACAAGAAGAAGTGGAGGAAGGGAGTGGTATCATGGCGTGAAAGCCCTTGTATGAGGAAAAATGCTGATTTTAATAAATGATGTTGATGCGGATACTGAATAAATAATAACTTGCTATAAAGCCCACCGCACCCTATAAGATATTCCTGAAATCTGATAAGTGACAGACAGCAATTTTATTAGATATGGAAATCTAAACACATAATTTTCCTGATATAAGTTCTAAATAATGATAAGACTTCTTACAGCTTGAATTTTAGTGCATTGAAGCCTTCTAGTCAGAATAAAAGCCGAATCGGCTTCAAATCATAGACAGTTGCACTACGACTCTGAGCTGATTTAGCTTTTCCTTAGCCAAGGAAGCTGGAAATTTGTTTAAATATAGATGCTATAAATCATATGACTATTCAGATCTTTGATCATTTAGGTTTGAATGTTCACATCACAAGCTATTGCAAATTCTTCCGAAATTGGATCCTAGCCAGATGGTATGGTGTGCGGAGGGCTAAATTTGATGCAATATGTGTAGAAATTTGTGCTCTTTCCTTAACATGCATCTGGCATATTCGCATCAAATATCTGCCATGAAAGTTAATGAGCCGAGCCACAAAACGTGGAATGATTGTCGCGAAAGAAAGGAAGCTGGAAATTTGTTGAAATATCGATGCTATAAATCATATGACTATTCAGATCTGCAATCATTCAGATTTTATAAGTTCGAATGTTCACATCAAAAGCTAATGCAAATTATTCCAAAATTGGATGTTGGCCAGATCGTATAGTGTGAGATGCTCAGTATTAACCCTTTCAGGGCAGGATTTATGTGTATGGCTTTATTGATCACAATTTGTTCTTCAAATTGGCAACCATTTGTTTTATTTTATTGCTACATCGTAAAGGTAAAATGCATCATCTCTATAAACATTATAAACATTATACATAGGTGCGAATGTTGTCAAAAAGTTCAGAAATGGCAAATTTTGATTGAAAAACTATGATATTGAATCTCTCAACAATTGCCAATTTAAGGATTTTAGAGATTATGTTCCTTTTAGATATTCCTAGCATCAAACGCAATACAGTCTTGAAACAAGAATGGATGCAGTATCATACAAGTGCAGGAATTTTTTGCTCTTCTCACACATCAGGGGCCCGTTTCATAAAACTTGATATCCATAACAAATGCTAAATTACTATGACAAATATGCTCTCAGCCAATCAGATGCCATGATTTCAGTAGCTTATAACAGTAGCTTGTAACGCATTATTGATATCAAGTTTTATGAAACAGGGCCCTGGCATATTTTATAGGGCTCTGCATCAAAGGCTAATGAGCCGAATCACAAAATGGAGTGATTTTTGCGAAAGAGTCAATACCATTCCTCCTATAAGCCCTTCAATCATTGTCACAAACCAATTAAATATATCTGGATTGAGAAGGACAAATGTGAATGATTCCTGGAAATTGACATGCTTACATACCCTGTAGAGTGTATGTTCACAGCAAAGTGTAATGAGGAAGTTATGGTAGTTAACATAGGACTATTCTCACTGCTTCAGATGTACATATGAGTATGAGTTGCACTGCTTTGATGGAGGGGGGCGAGTTGAAGTCATTGGGAGGTATTCTCATAAGTTAACCCGGACTAAGTCTAGACTAAACAAGAATTTTAGTTCACACTTCTATGAAATGCTAGGTTTTATCTTCCTCCTTCAATATTCATGACAAAAATAATCTATCAAGGATTTTGTTAAAATTCAGTTCATACTCATATCATCTTTTCTTACCATTTCATTGCAAAATTAATTTGTTGGACACTTTTCATTGAAGGATTGAAATAATATGTACAGGGTAAATGAGTTTGCAACAGTTACTCCATAATAGTGTGGACTAAATAAGTAAATGTACATGTACGTGCTAACTTACTAGTACACGCTACCGGAATACCACCCATTGTTTCCCATATTTTACCAACCAATGCTCAGATCTTCGTACATGTTTATGATCATTGCATCCAGTTGAAGGCTTGTTCAGATATGACGGTTGCGAAACACAGCGTTTCTTAACATTTTTATGCTGACTTAAAGTTTAAAGACCGTCAATACTACTGGGCCAGAAGGGATTAGACCACACAGCGAGGTCACTGACAGGTGGCTATCTCATTAACTCAGCTCTCAACTAACCTAAGAAAAAGAGGATCATGGGGGACCAACAGGCACCGATTGGGGAAGTTTTATATATAGAGGGAGCAAGAAGCTACAAGTAGGATAGTGGGGCTTTAAATACCGGTACCCTTCACATTTCTGTATCATATAACACAGAGCTAGAGGGAAAAGTGCATGAACATCGTGTGCGCAGTTACCATTCATTTACGTTAACAAAAATCTGTAGCAGCATTCTTTTGGCGGTTTGCCGCACCATGTATGAACAAGCCTTAATCAGACGAGACCAAATATGAATTGAAATGACCTAAGTTTGATTTCAATTTATGTGCAGAGAAGGACATCATGTGACCAAACAACTTGATCGTGCCAAAATAATTGTTCTGTTCTTGGCAGTATAAATGTTCCTGTTTGAGTCTGACGCCTCGATCAAACAGCTATTCATTAGGTTCTATCACATGCAACTGAACTAGTATCTGCACATCGCTTCAATATCGTTTTATCAGTGCTACACTTTAGGAGGAAGTAATGTGTATAAAATGAAAGAATGTACCTGGTACTTCTATTGTATGATATCAACACCATCCTATTCAAATCTCATGCCTTTTTATAGCACTTTGAAACTAAATGTACATGCAACTTGTAAAGGGGGCATACAATGGTGATACGTATATTTATTTATTCATTTCTTTATTTTTAAACTGGTTTATTGATTGAATAGCAGCAAGCCTGAAACAAATTGAATTTACACAAGATTAAAAAATTAAATTAAAATACAATACATTTAAAATTGGTTAGATAAAATACAGTAATATACAATTTTCATTTACTTAATCGTTTAGAGAGAGAGAGAGAGAGAGAGAGAGAGAAAGGAGGGGGGGGGGGACAATTGATGACATACTTTTCCATGACCCTTTACAAATAAAGAGCTTATTCTTGTAAGCCTCATCCTTATGCAAAACATTATTACTCTGTACCTTGTATTTCAGGATTTAAGAATTCACATTGTTTTTAAATCTGATATTTTGTTTGTGTCATAATTTCGATCAAAGCTTCTGTACACTACTTTTTGTAAGTACAGTTAAACCTTTAGTGACCACCTGTCTATACAGACCACATGTTTTGTTTCCCTTGAAAATTGTTTCTCATTGAAACATGTACTAAATGAACCTGTGTACAAAGACTACTTTTTGTGTTTCCCTTGGGTGGTCGCTATAGACAGGTTTGACTGTACATGTAGATGGTGTGATTGAATCTTATTCTACCAACACCTGCTGATAGGTGGTTTAGCCAGGGGAGTATGGATATGAGCCCTGTTTCAATAAAACTTGTTATCAATAACAAATGCTAAATTTCTATGACAAATTTGCTCTCAGCCATTCAAATGCCAAGATTTCAGTAGCTTATAACAGTCATTGTAGCTTGCTGGTGATAACAAGTTTTATGAAACAGGGGCCAGGAGTTCTAAATGTAAAAATAAAATTGGTTTCATGAAAGTCAGTCACATACAAGTACGTACTTTTTTTATTTTATTGTCTTATTTTATCCTTCCAGATTATTCCTCAGGTTTTGGAGGGAAGTTTGGAGTGCAGAAGCAGAGCATGGATAAGGTAATTAAAAAGCTTTTTATCTGCAATTATTTATTACCGTTAAAGGGATTGGGTATCTTTGTCTCGGACTCTGAAACAAAATCCTGGATTTAGCTCATGCAGCAATGATAATTATAAACCTTTAGATTAGTCAGGAACCCCATGACTTTTACAAGCCGATCCCCTGTCTGATTATCAAGATATGTAAGATTGGAAATCTAAATTTCTAAAACTGTTTTTCCTAACGGTTTTTATAACACTACAGTCTATTGGGGAAATTAAGGATGGTAAAACCGGTCACTCAAAGATTTTACATTTTTGAGGCACTTCATGATCATTTTGAAGCGCAATTTTTTGAGGGCTTCAATATTACATCGTATCACAGATACGTAGGGCCATGCATCTCCGATTTAATATTGTTAAACTTCAATGCCTTTAATCAAACCTGTTGACAACAAATTGTTTTACACATAATTTAGTACACCAGTACGTGAAACCAGTTTTTGCACCCTTTAACACTTGAGAATGTCTTACTTTGTGCTTGGGACCTTTTTAACAGTAGGCTACCAAATGGTTTTGCTTTGTAACCATTTACCCCATATCAATACTAACCGCAAGCTTTAAAATTCATGTCACATGATAAAGAGACGTGTACAGGTGACAGTGAGGGCAATGTGCCAATTCAATAACTTCTCTCTCTCTCTCTCTCTCTCTCTCTTTATCTCTCTCTCAATCTCTGACTCTTTTCTCTCTATTTATCTCTCTCTGTCTTACTATCTATCTCTATCTATCTCTCTCTCTCTCTCTATCTCTCTCTATCTCTCTCTATCTATCTATCTCTTTCTATCTCTCTCTCTGTCTTACTATCTCTCTCTATCTATCTATCTCTCTCTATATTTCTCTCTCTCTCTTTATCTCTCTCTATATTAATCTCTCTCTCTCTCAATCTCTCTCTCTCTCTCTCTCTTTATCTCTCTCTCAATCTCTGACTCTCTCTCTCTCTCTCTCTCTCTATCATCTCAGAGTGCTGTTGGATGGGACTACCAAGCAGGTTTATCACAACACAACTCACAGAAAGGTACGTTCACACTGCCTGAGAAATAGAGATCCATAGGTCTTTATTCTATTGATACAGTTAACCTGTTGTCTACAGGAACCGGGTGGTCCAAGTGCAAAGTCTATGGGAATTAGAACAATTCAGAAGTCGACAGGTTAACACTGACACTGGGTCTAAATCACGCCTAACGAAACAAAAACTTTGGCCTAAGACTAATGTCCTTTGTTGAACCTGAGAAATAGAGAGGCGCAATGGCTCAGTAGTCGAGCAGCTGTCCTGTAACTGGGGGGTCCCGTGCTCGAAACAAGTTTGAGAAGTTTTTTTGCATGTTAGAGGGTAAGTACAGTAGAAGGAATATACTAAGTAACATTTCATACAAAAATTATGCGTTTTTTTCATCAAACTTCAATAATGTTACCGAGTCACTTTAAAGTACCCCTGCATGATAATTTTGCATGCATGCATCCATCACAGATTATTCTACCGGTTTCGGTGGCAAGCACGGCGTGCAGACTGACCGCCAAGACGCTTCAGCTGTTGGATTTGACTATGAAGGAAAGACAGAGAAACACGCTTCGCAGAAAGGTCCGTGGGAAATGTGACGTCGTAGTGGGTTTATAGCAGTTTAGTCTACAGCCTGGGGGGTGTTTCATAAAGCTGGTTGTAAAGTTACGCATGCCTTTACGAACGACTTATATATGAAAAGCCAAATGGGATGCTCAATCTTTTTTTAACTGCATCAACTAAAGTTGAACTGTGCAGATGTAGATTAACATTCTTATTATAACAAAAAAAATTAATATGAGGTATATTTTTTGCCATGATTTAATTGAGGTTATTTGAAATATCAGGAAAAATTTGGGGCATCCTTTCTGGCACTTCATATTCAAGTCGTTCATAAAGTCATGCGTAACTTTACAAACAGCTTTTTTGAAACACCTCCCTGTTTGTCTACGCCCCAATTAGTCTTTTGCTCATTCAGTCTAATTCCCAGTTAAATAATGATAATCATTCAATAATTATTAGACCTTATGGATGATAGATGAAATAGGCATGAGAGAATCTGGGAATTAGACTAAATGAACAATAGACCAAATGGGTAGTAGACTAATTAGAGATTAGACCAAATGGATATTAGACTAAACGGTTATTGGACCATGTGGCTAATGGAGGGTTTGGTGCAATCCATAATGTGAATAGACTAATTGGGTATTAGACGAAAGGGTTGTAGACCAAACACTATTGTAGTAAATTGCTTGGAAGAGTAAAAAGAATAAACTGATTGATAGGGCAACTAGGGGTACACAACTCAAACAAGGATTTTGTTTAAAAAGGAGTAAAAAAAATTACTGAAAGATTACTGTGAGATAATCAAGGTATCATGTTTATGAGTACATCCTGCTTGGCTATAAATGTACATGTACAAAAGTCCTATTCCTGCTGCCTATATAGAAATTTGAAGGAGCGATTAAGGTTCCAAACATTTAAACGGTAAATCAAAAGTATGGGGAAACTGTACAATTTCCCATTGGAAAAGAGAAAAAGGAAAACATCACAATTGCCTGTGAAAATTGTGTTGACATGAGGCCAGTCACCCAAGTATTTACAAATTTATGGCAGATTCACACATAATGCAAGTGCCTTTTGTTCCAAAAAAATATAACTGTAAGACTTTTGTGGTTAAGGTTCAGTTCAAGATATTATTTAAGAAAAATATCCATCATGATCCTATGGTGTGCAAAATTGACAGATTATTCCAGCGGGTTTGGTGGGAAATACGGCGTGCAGAAAGACAGCCAGGATTCATCAGCTGTCGGGTTTGACTACGAAGGCAAGACGGAGAAGCACGCGTCACAGACGGACTCGAGCAAGGGGTTTGGAGGGAAATACGGCGTTCAGAAGGATAGCCAGGACTCATCGGCCGTCGGGTTCGACTACGAAGGCAAGGTAGAGAAGCACGCGTCACAGACGGACTCGAGCAAGGGGTTTGGAGGGAAATACGGCGTTCAGAAGGATAGCCAGGACTCATCGGCCGTCGGGTTCGACTACGAAGGCAAGACGGAAAAGCATGCATCACAGACGGACTCGAGTAAGGGATTTGGAGGGAAGTTTGGCGTTGATAAGAATGCGCAGGACGCAACGGCAGGAGGCTTTGGTGACATGCAGGGTGTTTCATCGTCCTATAAGAAGACACGACCTCAACCACCAGGTAAGACACCTTCCTTGGTTTCAATTTCCGTTTCTCTGCTACGTGCATTTCATTTTCCCTCAGAGGGCATAACAGGCAACTTCAACAAACCCACTCAAGAACAGACACATTCGCGAACTCCTACTTCATGAATACAATGCGTGATCGGAACCAGCTTAAGCCGGAGACTATCTTCCACACTGACCGCGTCAAATTCAAAATTGCCCCGACTTCCCCTCCATCCACAAATTAATCCACCCTATCCAGTTAAAACTCAGACAAGTATTTTGGAGGAGCAACCAACCAAGTACCAAGTACATGAAAGATAACATCGTTTTCAGTACGTGGATCAAGTCTGTATTTTACTTAGCATTTTACTAGGCTAAGGAATGTGTCTCAACTCGTAATCAGATCATATCGGAGCATTTTACTTTATTTAGCCAACTTAAAGGTAAACTGCTTGCTGGTATTCATTTTGACATCACGTTGTCATTCCAAAATAATGTGCAATTAACACCTTGAAATGCGTGCTCATAATGTGCCCAGGTTATGATAATAATGTGTTATAAAAGTATATGCCTGCCAATCAAGGCCTCCAAATAATTGGCTTAAGTCTGCTAGGAAGCTGTCTTAAATTTAGGGTAAAATACTTAGCCATAGGCTTGAACTGAATTTTATCTAAGTCGAAAACTAAGTAAAATACTGATATTTCTGATAAGTATTACATTGAATAGTTCTACCTGGATATTGATGTTTTTATTTTGTTCACCCTACGTAGCTAAAAGTGGCGCTGGAAACATGAGGAATAAGTTTGAACAGATGGCGCAAGCAGGAGAAGAGGTAAGTCTTCTTGTTCCTCTTCTTTTTTTTGGGGGGGGGGGGGGGGGGACGGGGAGGGGAGGTGGCGGGGGGTGTTGCGAACAAATCCTCCTGATATTCAGCTAATGAACAATCACAATTTATACGAACATTGTAAAGAAAAGCTTAATTAAAAGTGTTAAATACAAATGTATTGAAATCGATTTTATCATTATTGCTCAATACATCTTTCAAACCTGTACTCTTCGTCTGAATTTTTGTGACAAAGTAATTTCCTTTTCATGAGCTGATAGTGAGGTATTAGGAATCCCATCAAAGTTTTATGCTCTTACAAATCTTTTCACAAATTCTTAATGTGATGATCAAAAGAATAATTAGGGTGATATCCTGTTTTGTAATAGGCCATTTTTTCAGTTCTTTCATTATACAGTACATGTATATCAACCAAATTCTTTTCATGAATTGTTTTGAACTTGGAAATCATAGTTTGTTTCTTTCTCTTTTTGTTAACAGGAGAGCAGAAGAAAAGCAGAGGAAGAGAGAGGGAGAAGACAAGCAAGGGAACAGAAGGAAAAAGAAGCGGACAAGAAAAAGGAGGAGGTACGTAAAACACTGTTTTTGAATATTTCTCTTGCTCGTGATTTGGGGAATATATGTTACCGAAAAAGAGCTAATAATACACCAGTTTACAGTTGTGTGCGCCATTTTAATTGGCGAGTAACAAAGCCAATGACCTAAAGATCAGTGGTATTTATGCGTAAATTAAGATTGTGCCCATGCAAATTATGATGTGAGCACACAGCGCAGCGCGCAGGCAGTGATGTCATCATAATTTGCATGGGCGCAATCTTAATTTACACATAAATCCATGACCTCGGGTCATTGGCTTTGTTTATTCGCCATTTAAAAAGGCGCCCATGTCTGCGCATGCGCACTGATACAACTGTAAACTGGTGTATTAGCTGTGAAATACATTTCTATGACAAATTGTTCTCAGCCAATCAAACGCCAAGATTTCAGTAGCTTATAACAGTTATTGTTACTTGGTGAAACAGGGCACTGATGGGCCACATTTCACAAAACTTGTCATCAGTGACAAATTACAGTGTTTGTTACAAGCTACTGAAATCCTTGCTTCTTATTGATTATCAGCAGATTTGTCATTGAAAAAAGGCTTTGTGAAACAGCTCCCAGGTCATCGGTCCTGAAAGGTTAATAAAAGAACACACCCATCCTATCTAATATTAATTATTGTGTTTGATTATTCAATATCCAGGAGAGGCAGAGAGCCTTAGCAGAGCATCACCGAGCCCTTCCAGATGAGCCGGAGCCGGAGCAAGAGCCAGAACGGGAACCTGCGCCAGAGCCACAGCGAGCCCGCCTGCCCGAGCCCGCCGCAGCACCGCGTCGCGAACCTCCACCAGCCGCAGCCGATGACGAATGGGAGACACAAGCAGACCAAGAAGAACCCCCAGCACTCCCCCCTCCCCGACAGAGCAAGCAGCTTCCATCGTTACCAGGGCGACAGGCTCAGCCCCTCCCCTCGACGCCGGACGAACCAAACCTGTACGAGGATACGGGAGACGTGGGTACAAATTTTGACGAACCGGAGGATACGTATGCTGATGCAGACGCAACGGCAACCTACGATCAGCCTCCAGATGACATGGGTCAACAGACTTATGAAGAAGTTGGTAAGTACTCCACTATAATATGTCACTCTTTTATAATGCTTGATAGATGATCTATTTTTCTAAGCGCTGTCCATTGTAATTATTATGTTCCTAAGCATATTTGAAGAAAGTTTCCTTTGACGCCTCAAAAGCTTGCCAGTGGAATCCATAATTAGAGATGCCATTATATTTATTAGGTATTTGTATTTGTTATTGTTGTTGTATCTAAGTTGAGGGCTGCGGGCACGTCAAGCTACTTTGCTTATTTCTGTAGCCCTCCTGCATCTAATGTATGTTAATTATGCATTCAATATATTTGTTTAAATTCGTTCATTATCTGTATAAGATTATATACACTTAAAATATTGTATCAAACCATGTTCATGAAAATGTATGATGAAAAAAGAAAAAAAAAGATGCAGAAACCAATAAATCAAATCAAAATCAAAATCAAAAAATGAAATGTTTTATTACCAGGAATACATTTAGTATAAAACAGGTTTAAACAGGTCTGATATGTACAGACACTTTAAAAAGACTTGGTAACATTGTTCAGATGAAAGAAAATGGTGCTAAGGTAGTGAATTCAATGCTAGATGTACAATTTAAGATAATCTGAAATTTTGATTGAAAAGAGACCATTCTTAATGATAACAATTGGGAAAAACTGATCTAATCTATTCCTTAATTCTCAGAACTATATTATTACAATTTATTTACATTTAAGGTGAATGTAAATCGTCACAGAGCAATGAATTGGCTCTATATACCATTCTAAACATTTAAGAGTGAAAGATTTGTTTTAAAGCCTGTCTTATGTCTTATTTTCATGGAAAAGGGGTTGGGAAAGTTCAAAAATGGCCGGGAGAATTTACCGTTAGAGGCCTTCAAAGAAAACCTTGAATATCTTTGTGGTTTGAGAATTTTTTCAGGATTTTTCACATGTTAGGGGATTAGTACAGTAGAAGGAATATAATAAGTATCATTTCATATCCTTTGATGAAACAATGCTCTTTCTGTAATTGTTCTAGATCGTGCTCCAGTGGCCGATGATTCCACCTATGAGGACTTGCCACCCCAGAATGAACCTGTTGAAGACACCACCTATGAAGCGGTACCAGAGGGCCAGGATGGCCTTCGGGCTAAGGCCCTCTATGATTACCAAGCTAGTAAGTCAGAATATTTATTTATCATTCAGTGTTAATGTTAATCGGTGGTGATAAATGATATTGATTATGATGATGATGGTGATGAACAGATGATGACAATCGATAATGACATTGTTAACGTATAATGAGAATCCTGCAGTAAATTCTATATTATTGTTGATACTCCTTTGTTTTTCTAGACATGAAATAAGATAAATATAAACAAATATAAATATCAGACTTACAAATTTATTTGTTGGGGGCCAAAATATGTGTAACAGATTATCGGAAAAACCATACATTTAGACGTTTTTTTTCCAAGCGAGAAGGACTTTTAGTTGAATCCTGCTTTCTTGTCTTTGGTTGCTGCCCTTCCGTGAAGGTCTCTAAAACTTGTGATTTTAATATTTTTTGCATTTTTTTTCCTCCAAACAGCTGCTGAAGATGAATTGACCTTTGACCCGAATGAAATAATCACACACGTAGAGACGGTAAGTGTACATATTCAGTTTCAGATTCATTTGCAGAAGATTTTATTGATCCACATTTCAAGATCAGAAATTGTCTTCCGCAGGCGCTATAAACCATGAAATTGTCTTCCACAGGCGCTATAAACCATGAGCATTTCATGAAACCTTGATAATATATAATTTATTAAGGCTTGCTCAGACATGATGTGGTAAGTGGCTGTAAAGAAAATGTTGTGTTTTTTAAAAGGTGTAAATGGATGGCAGCTTTGCACAACAAAGGTCCTACACTTAATCACCAAGTCTATGCTGTAACATACATATGTGTGTGGCATATATTAGACTTCACATCAATCAATCAATTAAAAGATACTTGATATAGCGCCTTTTCCTTGTGGTAACAAAGCACTGCACACGCCGCTCCAACAATGTTTGGACCACTTATAAACAAAAGTCAGTCACTTCTCAGAGATCAGTTAAGTACATGTATATGAAGGATGGTAATAACGTCATTCTTAGCCGAATAGATGTGACTTTAGTAAAAACAAAAATTGTAAAAACTGTTGGGGTTTACGGCTGTATATCTTAGGCAAATTTTAATCATATTTTATTGTTTTCTTTGCTGCTGTTTACAGATTGACGATGGTTGGTGGAAGGGGGTCTGCAGGGGTAAGGTCGGCCTCTTCCCAGCAAACTACGTGGAAATGTTGTAGATTAGATGAACACCAGGGGGTGTTTCACAAAGACTAAGATCGATTTTGAAGTTGGACTTGACTATGACAGGCCGTTAATGCCACTAGTTCCTCTATACCATACCTGGCATTGGTTTCTCAAGGGATGTTTAAAATCATGGTCGCAAATCTACAGAATTTACATTTTTTGATAGTTCATTAATGAATGAAAAAGTATTATCTAATGATCATAATTCAGAAACCAATGGGGAGTGCAACCAGTGGCATGACAGGCCTGCCATAGTTTAGTCCAACTTAAAGTTGATCTTAGTCTTTGTGAAACACTCCCCAGAGCTACCATAGAGGGCGCAGCCCCGTCCACAGCAGATAAATCGTTCTGCATTTTAATAGCCAGGATCATAGTGGTTAATGAAAACGATAGTCGATTCTTCTTTTATAGAGCACATCACATTATATTGGTACAAAGTCTGTATGTGCTTCCATTGACATTTTTTACCTTGGATATCCGTGCACATTGCACAAAATGGGAAAGTCTTCTTGTTTATTCACAAATGCATCATTCCACACAGTTTAGAAGGTGGCAAGTGCTACTAGTCCAATAGTTATTTAAGTGACAGACAAGAAGATTATGGTGGCTTTAATAGCTCTTTATATACCCTTATTAGCAAATTGCTTGTGGGCAGGGTCCTAGATTGACAAAAAGATTTTCTCACCGAATTTATTGCAAGTGCATTGATTTTCTTAGTACCATCCATCCAGATAGAATCCTACAAGAAAAGTGCATTGAACTTTCTTAGTCATGAATATACGTAGTCAGCCGTACATACATTTATATGCTTTGAGAAAAGCTTCATATTAAAGTTAAAATGTTTCTGTGTTTCAAATCATGTTTTTAAATATATAATTGATTTTCTAGCTTTTCCATGTGAAATAGAGCCATGATCTTTCATACCTACATGTATACCTGTTCAAGGTTTGCCTTGTTTTTCAGTCATGGAGCTGCATAGCTAATTCAGGAATAAATGTCTTTAAATCTTTATACCGGTGTACCATTTAAATAATCTCACTGAATCACTGTGCCACATTGCATTTTATCATGGGACGTATATACCGTAAGATCGTTTACCTGTTTTTAGTGCAAGATTAATCTTTACTGGTGTTAAAAGGGTTGTCATGGAGCTAACCAAGACCAGGGTCCTGTTGCACAAAACCTACCATTGATGGTAACTTTGCCATCAATGGTAATTACCATGGAAACCTTGATTTTGATTGGCTGTTGAGCCATGTTACCATGGTAGTTGCCATTGATGACAAAGTTACCATCAATGGTAAGTTTGATGTAACGTGCCCAGATATGTGTCATTTTGCCAAGCCATTGTGTTGCACAAAGCAATTTTTCTGTTGATTGGTGCATATTGTTTGGTGCAAAATTGCACATGTGGCAAACAAGGGACCATACAGACAGACGAACAAAGCAACCAAAGTTTTAATACTAAAAAAATAATGTTTGACTTGTCTAGAAAGAAGGCATTTACTGTTTTACTAACTTTTGTCAAGTTACAGTGGAAATTAGACAGGTTTCCTCGGAAAGGGACATAACAGAGTAGTAGCTAGGATGAATGCATGGTCTCTGGACCAAAGTTGTTCATGAGGGATATTTTAAATAACAGTTTTTTGATCGAGTTTTTCAAAATGCCTTTATGAGGACATTATCTGACATATATTTCTGTATGACGATGTTATTAAACAAAGATGAATTAGATGCCTAGTTCACAACCGATAAGCCAGTCTGTAGATGAGGGCCAGTTTGAAGATGAGGGTCATGTATACCAAAGTTGTAAAAACGAATACTGGATACGTGTTCATGAAGGTTACATAATAACTATTCTATGGGACACAGGTGGAAGTATTCTTCCAAACATAATCCATGAATCACAGCCATGACTTTGGAGGTGATTATTCTAAAATTCACAAAGTGGAACTACTCCATGGGCAAAAGATCTGTGGATATTTGGGGTAATTTGTACCATGTGCTACTAGGAACTGGTATATTGCATTATATGTTACAGTGTGTACAAATCAAATATGCCTATACCCGATGATTATGTTATATATTAGGCTTGTTTTGTTATATGTCCTATTATATCGGTTTGACCTATAAATAGCCAGGAAACAAACTTCATGTAGTGTCAGTAATTCAAAGGAAAGAGATATGCCAAAGATGATTTCTCATATTCCAAAGCAGCACCAAACAACCTATGGTATTATGAAATTTCAAGGATAGCGACGTTATACCAGGTAGTGTTTCCTGTACATCTACCAGTATTTGTATTTTTAGTATTATTTAGATTTAGATAATGCTTTTCTAGTTAATGTACTACCCCCACGAAATATATAATCTGAATTCCAGTACGATATGAACACATGTATTAAATACTGATCTTTCAAATGATAATATATAAATGACTGTGTAATCATGTGATATATGTAAAAAAAAAAAAAAAAATAGGAATATAAATTCTTTGTTAATTACTGGAATTTCAAATAGAATGTACTTTTATTATCATCCATCAGATTATGAACTCTTACATTAAAGCATTCAGCAAATGAATAATTGTATATTGATAGGACTTACCTATGATATGACGAAGACAGAAAAATATTCACAAACTCTGCTTATTAGCAAATCATGAACATGTTATGTAAATGTAATATATACTATTATGTTATTGTAGTAAAACTAGTGTATGTATATCATCATTTCATTTGTTACATGTATGTGTAGAGCTTCTGATCACTTACCATCATTTGTGATGTACAAGTAGTCAATAATTTGATAAAATGGAGTTGGCGAGTATAATATTGTATCTGTATCTGCGAGTAACTGTTATCATTTTACGTTTGTACACGTCAGATTAAAAGAGATGCCTTTTCATTTTTTGCATAAAGAGAAAAGTGTATTGACATTTTTTTTATCTCCGGTTCAGCAACTATCTCTCCTTGAAATCTACTACGCACAATGTGCAAATTTATTTATTTTTTACTTTGCATGTTATTTATAATGTACATGAAAACATTGCTTCATAATCAGTTATCAACATCGCTATCATCAGCCATCAACATCACTATCAACATCACCATCAACATCACTATCATCATCGTTACTGTAGATAGTGTCAGGCGCGCCAGAAGCAGTTTGGGATGGGGGGGGGGGGGGGCAAACGTTCCAGGGGGCTCACCTTCCAGGGGCAGTGGCGTCATGAGCAAAAACGTTTGGAAGCCCCGGCAGGGGGTCAAGGGGCTGAGCCCCGGAAGCACAGGGCTTTTAGGCATTAAATTACGGTCAGATAAGCATATTTATATACCTTATTTGTGACACTGTTAGGTCACTATAATTGGCGGAGAGTCCAGTATTAGGAAAGTCAGATGAAAGTTGTTATTTTCTAACAAATTACCAAACAGTATCTGCAAAAAACTTGTCCAATATGATCAGGACTATAAACCATGAAACACGTACGATATAAAAATATAAGCAAGAAACGAACCCAGTGCAAAGAAATAAGGAAACTAGTGGAGCAGCTGTAACGCGCACCACCAGCTTCCAGTGCAGAGATTAGAAAGAAAAAAAAAAATCTTATGTATTTCATTGTTTTTGTTTAACTTATTTTTTGTATTGTTTTTGATGTTTTATTTCATTTCTAACTACAATTCAACTATTTTGACTCCCAAAACAACCACCTTAACCTGAAACAAGACCCAATAACCAATGTTTGATCTATTTTTAGGAAAAAAGACATTTCCATATTATTTTTTGTACACAAATCACGAAAATGAGCGATTTTTGGGCTGACATGCAAAGACAAAAGGTCACGTGACCTTGTAACTGTAGCTCTGATTTTCAAAAGAATTATTTTAAAAGATGCGCAAGACTCGAAGGAAAAAAGTCAGCGTGCGGCGGGGCGCCATCCATATGCATTCCCGAACAATCAGAAAAATCGTGGTGGGCCGGGGGGCATAATGGCCCCCGGCCTTATTAGGGTTAAACAGAGAGGGAGCCATCTCAGTCATCAACCTATTTCTCGAGAGTAAGAGAACATGTTTAAGGGTAGGCCAATATTATTTTGTCCGATGCGACACTACGCGACTACTCTTGATGGAAAAACTGTTCAATAGGAAGAGCGTCATCTGTAGGCTTTATTTTTTATTTTATTTTTTTCCATTGACGACTCTTCAAATGTTCTGCAACCACCTTTGCCCTCTTTTAATATTATGACTATTAATATCAAATCCCGAAAGTTCGGAATGTAAACTCGTCGACAACCCTTATCATTCCCCCCCCCCCATACCCCACCCCCCTTCCTCCTCTCTCTTCCCCCCCCCCCCCTCTCTGTCTCTCTCTGTCTCTCTCTCTTTCTCTTGCTCTATTTCTGGTTCTCTCTTACAGACTTCTATCTTCCTTTTGTTCTCGTTGCCACTCCCTCCATATCATAATCTTTCATCTATCTCCCTCTTCACCCCAAACCTCTGTCTCGTTCTTTCTTTGCATGTCCGTGTCTTTGCTCCCCCTTAATAATTATGCATTCTTTCTGTCTCCCCGTCTTTCTTGTTTGGTCCCCTCTCTCCCACACCCCCCCCCCCCACACTCTCTCTCTCTCTCTCTCTCTCTCTCTCGCTCTCTCATTCTCTCTCTCTAACCCTCTCTCCGTCTCTTTCTCACCCTCTACCCACCTCTCGCTCTCTTTCTGTTTTATTTTCCCTGGTGTGGGATAAACGATAATCATAATGAAAGTAAAAACGAGAATTAAGTGACAATATAATGCTAGGAAACCATCCATGTTTAATCAATTCATTACAATCAGATAACACAATTAATATAGAGCCTCAAATATTTCTATTTTTTTAACACTTGTTTTCTCCTATCGTCAACGCTTTATCCATCGGCCATGTATATAAGCTCCCAAATATATACATATTCATAATTAAAATGGTCTTAAACATTGCCTATTCACTCATGAATTGATACACAAAGTAACACAGTAGTATCACGTACTACATCCATATGTAATTTAAAGAGCTCGTAAAAGTATGCTACAGGAGATTGAATAGCCTGATCCTGGCTATACATTTTGGGCAGATTAAAACAAAAATTTATTATTGACCTCATTTACGACGTTCTGGTCGAAATGTTCACCTTGTTTGGCCAGCAAAAAATTATTTATTCCATCTTTGGGGTCCGACATCAGTCAGAATCGATTATAGACGGGTTTTTTAACATGAACGTTTTTGTCCTAAATGACCATTTCTTTTTTCATTTGTGTCGTTCTGTTTTGTTGTTGTTTTGTTTTGTTTTGGTTGTTGTTGTTGTTGTTTTTTCAGGGGGGGGGGAGATCCAGCATTAGTTCGAAATTTAAATCAGGTAGATGTATCTAGGTTTTTACCTTCACCTAAATGTTATGATGTAAAAACTGGGCACCGATTCAAAAACAATTAGTCTTATGTATTAAATTGACACCAACATGTATTTGTATCATTTTTGGAGGATCTAACATTAGTTAGAAATTCAATCAGAATCAATGAATGGACGGCTTTTGACTCCCCAATTCTATGTGTGATGGCGAATCTTAGGATATTTTCAGTTCTGAGCGTCCTCCCCCGCTCATATCTTGCTCTCGCAACCCTTTAAAAAAATTGTTATGCATATTCAACCGGTTGTACGACAATAACCCCCTGGAAAATTCCCCCTCGGCCAATTAACAGCTGGATAATTACCCCCCCAGGACAATAACCGCTTGGAAAATTATCCCCCATGGACCTCCTCCCCCCCCCCCTCCGAGGACAGGGGGGGGGGGGGACGAGAGTGACACTTTGTATTGAAAAGCACGCTAGCTCCTAAATGCTTGTCAGGCAGCCGCTGTTATCAGCACCACCACATTATAAGGCACTGGAGCGTGGGTCGGGAATTTTCAGTCTCTACTAGTTTTTGTTTTCTTTTAAGCATTATGGTATACATTTCCATTGTAATTGAAGGCAATTTCGCTTCCTAAGTTTATTTCGATATAATATAAATATCCCAATTGAATGTCTTTCCCATGCTTTATTCCTCCAAGAAAATCTTTAAAAGTAAAATAAGATGCACGAGTTACGAAAACATCCTATTTTTGTCATTTTAGTTTACATTTTTATCATTCATTCAATCACAAGGCTTATATACAAAACTAATTCGAGAAACGTCTGCGTCCACGCCGCATCCCCTTCGGCATAATCACTTCATACTTCTATCCAACTGTTTTGAGGTTCTTAAATAACTATTTTATCTTTAAAATGTTATTTTTAATAAACCTGGAGACCTTCTCGGAAAGTGAAAAACGAAATATTAGATGAAATATATATCAACGGAAACCTTATGAGCCATGGACCCCCTTAAAAACACACCCACACGCACAAACGCACACACAAACACACACACGCACACCCATACACACGCACACGCACAAGTATTTATTGAAAAAATAGACCTATCATATAATAACCTTTATCTCGGTTACTGTCATCCGTGTTATAATGTCATGTCATAACCATACTGGCTATAACCTGTTCCATTTCTTCTAATTCTTGAATGGGGTTAGGTTGAATGAAAATCAAGAAATGTTATTCTTCTCGTACCGTCACCAGCAGTGGCGGATCCAGGGGGGCCGGGGGCCGCCCCCCCCCCCTGGGAAAAAAGTTGTAATTTTACATATTTAACGTTAATTTTACTCTTTTTTTTAGATGGGCCCACCCCCCTGGCGCGAGTTTTAAATTTCAGCACACTAAATTTCAAATTGATTTCAAATTTGGGCCCCCACTCCTAAGAAATCCTGGATCCGTGCCTGGTCACCAGACATTGTACAATCTCTTCTTCAAGTGCAGCTTGTTATCGCTAAAATGTTCTTATTTCTAATGGTATCTATGCCTTTTGTTGAGCATAAAGAATTTAAAACCCTCCTGTGTTTGATTCATCCCTCTCCACATTTCATTCCACTCATAACAAAAAAAAAATTCTCTCGAAATGATAGAGTTCAATTCTATGACTATTTGTAAAGAGATAAGCCGTGAAGCCCTTTTCACTTGGGTGAATTCTATTTTGTCACAAACTGAATAAACAGCGAGGATATAATTCATGGAGTGTACACACGCACAATGGTAAGCCCTTTAGTATTTGAAGCGATGCCCGAATTAATTAGCGCCACATAATCAAAAGAGGAATCCTAAAAGAATTCAATTGTAAGAATACCAGGCAGAAAAATGTATGGAATTTACTTGCAGCGTCTTGCATGACTAAACTCAATTGATCTACAAAAGACTTGAGTTGTGGTTTGCACTCCTTCCAAACAATGTATACATTTTCCTTTCCTGATTGAATCATAGATGATAAAGTACAGTAACCCTTTACTGAGCTACAAATAGGCCGTTTTCGTAATGTAACCAAATTTAATGCATAAGCCTTTGTGAAGTGCCTCAATACAAGTTATTTCATTCACCTGATAAGAATAATAGTGTTTTAATAGTCAGAATGCAAACTGCATATATTAAGTGTTGCTAGGTAGGTCAAGCCATAATGTTTGTCCAACCTGGCAACAACTGATGTATGTAGTTCGGATTCTGTCTATTGAAATACTATTATTCTTTTCAGGTGAATGAAATAATATGTATTGAGGCACTTCACAAACACTTATGCATTAAATTTGGTTACATTACGAAAATGGCCTAATTCGTCATGTAAGCGGGAAATTATCAAGTTCAGAAGGCTTTAAGCTGCTATCATTGGTATTTGACAAAGTGAAAAGACGTGTGTCATTTTGAACGGGTCGAAATTCAAAGTACTCGCACAAATTACTATTTACAACCATACTGAGCAATGTTGAGCACAAAGCTTTCCTAAATAAATGTATGTAGGTCTAACCATATTGACCATT